CTTTCTTTCTTTCTTTCTTTCTTTCTTTCTCTCTCTCTCTCTCTTTCTTTTTTTTTGTTTTTTATTTTTTTAAATTTTTTATTAATTACACTTTATTCATTTTGTATCCCCCCATAAGCCCCTCCCTCCTCCCCTGCCGATCCCACCCTCCCACCCCTTTCTGCATGCATGCCACTCCCCAAGTCCACTGATAGGGGAGGTTCTCCTCTTCTTTCTGATCTTAGTCTATCAGTTCTCATCAAAAGTGGCTGCATTGTCCTCTACTGTGGCCTGGTAAGGCTGCTCCCCCCTCAGGGGGAAGTGATCAACGAGCAGGCCAATCAGATTATGTCAGAGGCAGTCCCTCTTCCCATAACTATGTAACCCACTTGGACACTGAACTGCCATGGGCTACACCTGTGCAGGGGTTCCAGGTCATCTCCACGAATAGTCCTTGGTTGGAGTATGAGTCTCTGGGATGTTCCCTGTGTTCAAATTTTCTTGTTCTGTTGCTTTCCTCGTGGAGTTCCCGTCCCCTCCAGCTCTTATTATTTCCCACTTCTTACATAAAATTCCATTCACTCTGCCCATCAGTTGGCCATCAGGCTCAGCATCTGCTTTGACAGTCTATACTGCAGAAGCTTTCAGAGGCCCTCTGTAGCAGGTTCTGAGGTTGTTTCCTATTTTCTTTTTCTTCTGATGTCCATCCTCTTTGCCTTCAGGATGGGGATTGAACATTTTAGTTAGGGTCCTCTCTTTTGCTTAGTTTGTTTAGATGTACAGATTTTAGTGGGTTTATTCTATATTGTATGTTTATATGAGTGAGTATATACCATGCGTGTCTTTTTGCTTCTGGGACAACTCACTCAGGATGATCCTTTCCAGGTCCCACCATTTACCTGCAAATTTCATGATTTCCTTATTTTTCATTGCTGAGTAATACTCCATTGTATAGATGTACCACAGTTTCTGCATCCATTCTTCAGTTGAGGGGCATCTGGGTTGTTTCCAGCTTCTGGCTATTACAAATAAAGCTGCTACAAACATGGTTGAGCAAATGTCCTTTTTGTGTACTTGCGCCTCTTTTGGGTATATGCCTAGGAGTGGTATGGCTGGATCTTGAGGAAGCGCTATTCCTAGTTGTCTGAGAAAGCGCCAGATTGATTTCCAGAGTGGTTGTACCAGTTTACATTCCCACCAGCAGTGGAGAAGGGTTCCCCTTTCTCCACAACCTCTCCAGCATGTGTTGTCCCTTGAGTTTTTCATCTTGGCCATTCTGATGGGTATAAGGTGAAATCTCAATGGAATCGAACAGAAGACCCAGAAATAAACCCACACACTTACGGACACCTGATTTTTGACAAAGATGCCAAAACCATACAATGGAAAAAAGATAGCATCTTCAACAAATGGTGCTGGTCCAACTGGATGTCTACATGTAGAAAAATGAAAATAGATCCATACTTATCATCCTGCACAAAACTGAAGTCCAAGTGGATCAAAGACCTCAACATAAAACCAGACACATTAAATCGGCTAGAAAAAAAAGTGGGGAATACCCTAGAACTCATTGGTACAGGAGAAAACTTCCTGAACAGAACACCAACAGCACAGGCTCTAAGAGCAACAATCAATAAATGGGACCTCATGAAACTGAAAAGCTTCTGTAAAGCAAAGGACACCGTCATCAAAACAAAGCGACTGCCTACAGATTGGGAAAGAATCATCACCAACCCTTTATCTGACAGAGGACTCATATCCAATATATATAAAGAACTAAACAAGCTGAAAAGCAATAAACCAAGTAATCCACTTAAAAAATGGGGAACAGAGCTAAAGAGAGAATTCTCTGTAGAGGAATATCGAATGGCAGAGAAGCACTTAAAGAAATGCTCAACCTCATTAGCCATTAGGGAAATGCAAATCAAAACAACCCTGAGATTTCACCTTACACCCATCGGTTTTCTTAATATATTAACTCATTTATGACTTCAGTGTCTTACCTCTTTTTTTTTTCTTCTCCTTTCCCTTTCCTCTCTTCTTTGTATTTAAAGAAGGTATTGTAGTAGAACATTTTTAAAAAGATGTTTCATTTTGTTGGGGGATGGGGAGCCATGCAGGCCAGAAGAGGGCATCGGATACCCCGGAGATGGAGCTACAAGCAGTTGTGAGCCACCATATGAGTGCTGGGTCCTGACAGCAAGAAGTGCTCTTCACCGAGTAGTCCTCTTCCCAGCCCCACTTCTTTCTTGCTTCCAGTTTTCTGAGACAGGGTCCCATCGTGCAGCACTGCTGGCCCGGAACTTGCATGACACAGGGCAACAACAGGATAACAGGGAACGGTTTTCATGAGGATCCGATATTGATGGTGTCACAGAATCGAGAGATCTCAAACTAGAGCAAGGACTCATTGCAACATTTGCAAGTAAAGATGTGTGGACAGAGCGATGTACTGTGGGACACACTGTATACAACAGCTTCCACGACGAGATGTTTTTTATGCTTTGGTTTTGTTGTTTGCTTGCTTGCTTGCTTGTGTTTTTTGGGAGGTGTTGTAAAGGCAAAGGGCATCTGGATATGAGGATAGGGAGATGAGCAGGACTGGGGTGCATGATGTGAAACTCACAAAGAATAAAAAGTTTTTAAAAAAGATTAGTTGAAACATTACATCAGTAAAATAGTCTTTTCAGATTGTAAACATACTGTCATCTAAGGATGAAGTAAAACAGAATGATTTGAATAATCCTATTTGCAATTTTTTTTTTAAGGTTATTTGGGCCTGGGGATGGGCTCAGTGGTAGAGTTGAAATTTGCCATGCCTTTGACATCAGCACCAAAAAAAATTTAATTATTATAAAATGCTCTCTCAAATAAAAATAAACAAAAACAACAAATGTATGTGTTCTATGAGCATTGACATTTCTTTCTCTATTCCCTCCTTGGTTTTGTTTTATTTTGTTGTTAGATTAGGTTAGCCTAGAACTTGGAGCAATCCTCCTGTCTCGACCTCCCAAATGCTACAACACCATGCTTGGCTTTACTGGCCTTTCTCCATTGTGCCATTTGATATACATGGGACAGAACACAAACCTGCCATTTGTTTCATGAGTCATATTAATTTACAAAGTACTGAAAAACTGCAGCCCATCATCACTTCAAAAGGACAGCTATTAGGCTGGGTATGGTAGCACATGCCTTTAATTCCAGAACTCTGTAGGCCAAGACAGGTGGATTTTGAGGCCACGTGGTCTGCATAGTGAGCCCCAGGACAGCCGGAGCCATGTAGTGAGACCTGTCTCCAAAAAAAAAAAAAAAAAAAAAAAAAAAAAAAAAAAAAAAAAAAAAAAACAAATTAAATATATGAAAGAAAGAGAAAGGAAAGAAAGAGAAAGAAAGAAAGAAAAAAGAAAGGAAGAAAGAAGGAAAAAAGAAAGGAAGAAAGAAAGAAAGAAGAAAGAAAAAGAAAAAATGCTATTGTACTTCTTTTGGTTTTAACACGGGCATTTTAAAAAGGATTTTATTTTATGCATGTGAACCACATCCATACCTATTCATGTGGATGGTTCACATTGTCTGTAACTCCAGTTTTTAGGGGATCTGACAACCTCTTCTGCTTTCAGTGGGTAGTATAATTCATATGACATACATCCAAACAAAACATATACATAAAAATAAGTAAATCCCTTAAAAAAATCATCCACAGTCTAGCCACTCTATATCCACTTGGGATTTTGTGGAGGCCATGTTTGATTATGTCACAATACCTTCTTCAGAGCCTCCCAGGGAAAGCAAGGAGAAGGCATTTTCATGCTAGACAGGAACTATACCTGTCTAACTGAAAACCTTGTGGCAGTCAACTACAAACCATCTCTAAACAGAAATTAGTAAAAATTGGCCTTGACGATGCTAAAAAGAACTTTGGAAACTGCCAACTGTGTGTCGTTGGGAAGAAAGAATGCCTTTGGACTTGCTGTATTGATATACCTCTCTTTGCCAATAGTTGTAGATGTGAAAGTGTAGCTCTTGAATGGATCCGATCCATGAGGTGAAACCCACTTGCTGTTTTTAACACTACTGTGTTCTCTTCCTTCTCTAACTTACCCTTTCCTCCTTTTTCCCCTTCCTTCTTAGTTTCCTTCCTTCCTTTTTTTTAAAAAACATTCTTACATAGCCAAACCGACCTCTAATTTGAGATCTAGCAAAAGACTGTTGTATGCAGTTCGGGAGACCCCAAAAGACCACCGACCACACCAGGAGTCAGAAATTGTCTGCAAAAGCAAAGAGCCTTTATTTCGG